TTTCGGCATCTCGAGCCGTCCACGAACAACTTGCGAACAACGAGGTCTCTTGTACCAGCTGCCTAATTAGAAGGAGCAGGTTCGCTTGCCAATCGCAAAGCTCTCATCGAGACGGTCAAGTGGTATCGACGCTGGCGGACATCTATGAAAATCGGGGGAAAACCAATCCAGCGGAGACCAGGAAATCCTCCCTCAGGTATTCCTGCCACGCCCCATTTACCTTCCTCCATGCACTGGTATCTATATAAAGAGTGAATCCCAGAAGAAACGATGGAACCGATGTGAGCTTACGAGGGCTGCAGGCTTCCAAAGTCGGACAAACGGCGGCGCACCTCTGCACTATCGTCCGATCGTAGTCTGCATGTGCAACTGTTCTCCGGCTGGGATACTTGTAGACATAGTCCAATGCGAGGTAGGCGAGTCGGCGAAATGGTGGCAGGCACTCCATGATTTGTTCGATGCTCTCCTGTGTTGATTTTTGTTGAGCGGCGGAATTGAACAACCAGTCGAACGACTTACTTCACCTAGCTCTGAATGCATAAACCGCATTTGAAGTGTCGTTGTGTGTGGCATGTGCGTCGCCAGAGACTTGAGAATGACCAGATGTGACTCTCCGGCGCCGGTGAAGCAATAATGAGAGGAAACAAAAGGGCGGTCAGGAGTCGTCAAGGCATTCAAGGCCAGAATGATTTCGTCGATGAGTGGTGCTCCCGCCGTGCGAGGCCAATTGAGTCGAGTTGATCGCAGACGGGACAAATGTATTTCAGGAATGGCAAGCGCCGTCCCTCCATAGTGACGAAGATTGGGAAGGGGTATGCGTTCCGCGACCGGCCTCGCTTCCAATGAATTCATTTCAACATGTGTTAGAGTGGTATGCCGCGTCAAAAACCCTGAAACGATGGGTTTATCAGCAACTTTGGAGTCCAGAATTTGTACACCACAACTGGTGAGGCAGGGAAAGTGCAGGAGGGAGAGGATAGGAGTTTTAAGAATTGACAGACGCTCCAGTCCAGTCATGAGTTTCATTGCCTCGAGCAATATATCTTCGTAAACGAGTGGTCTTGGTCTACTGTTGGTTGAGACCATTGAAAACGGAATATGGAACATACCGAAGCAAGCAAGTAAAGGATCGTATGCTGTCCGCCCGCCCAGGATTCGCAATTAGCGCCGAACAAAAAGCGCGCGGGATTTCAGAATTGCGAGTGCGGAGTACGACGGTGCAGTTTAGAACAGGCAGTGACAAGCTGTGAAAAAGCTTCGACACGCGACACAGAGTCGCCTGGTCTACCCTTGCCGCATTTCGCACAATCTCTGTGATCAGCTCGTCCGGGAACAACCGGGTGATATCCTTCTGTGGCCTGCATGGGCTTCGTGTCAAGTCCATTCGAATTGATGCTCTGGTCCGTTTCCACGAAGCAAGCGGTTGGAGATGAGCAAGAGATGCGCGGGTGCTGCGGCGGCAAGCATGCGCAAATAACGCTTTTGCGCCAAAAAATAAATTTCCCATGTGCAGCGCAGACGCGGAGCTACCTTGGACCTACTGCCACCGAGCGCCGCCGAGCCTTGTCTATATCAAACGTGACGGGCTTTTTTTGGGCCGACAAAGCCACTGGCAAGCAACTGGCAAGACAAAAAAAGAAGATAAAACAGTTCGCAAATGTAAACGCGATTTCGAACCAAGACAATTCGTTTACGGGTAAGCTTGAACATGGAATTCGTGACTTACAGGGACAGTGGTAAAAGATCGCGTTTTCGAACATTATTTTCCAGGGCTCGGGCTCGAATTCAACGAGCAGATTCTGCTTGATTTTACGCCACTCACTACAGACGCGGACCGTCCGCCATTGGGCCTCATCAACCAACTCTTTACTTCCTCGAATATATTTTACTCAATATTCATCCAGGCAACGCGTCGACGACTTTCTTTTGTAAAAAGCGAATCCATGGTCAATGAACAACACACTACGCAGAGCCGCCAGGTCTGCTCTGGTCACATTTTTATGGCGACGATGATCAGCTCGACTGCGAGCAATCGAGTGATCTCCATCCGTGGCTTGCGCGTACGCGAAGAAGCCGGTCTCGCTTGCCAATCTTAAGGCTCTCGTCGAGGCTTAGTCTTGAAGACAGCGGGTGGGAAAGAGATTGTGCTGCCACAGTGCTGGTGCGAATGGAGGAGTATACATGCGCGAATACTCTTTCTTACCAAAAAGAAATTCGGATCGGCGTAATGTACATACCCCTTGATGCCGACGCGTAGTATACCTCAGCGCAATGGATTTTCTTTCACCAGGATTCGGACGCGGGAGTCCAGGAGTTTGTGCCGAAATGGAGGAATAAGAGATGAATAATTTACGGACGGAATCTCATCGTCTCCATACATATCCGGCAGCATCGATTCAAATTAATTTATTAGAGTTAAACAAGCGCGCATGCGGATTGCCGTAGTCATAAAAGAACAAAAGCCGTACTCTAGGTTTGCGACGTCTGTTACAAGTGCGCCTCACATTCAGGGGAAATTCAATCCAGCGGAGGCCAGGAAATCCTCCCTCGGGTATTTCTGCCACGTCCCATTTACCTTCCTCCATGCATTGGCAGCTATACAAAGAGTGACTCCCGGAAGAAACAATGGAACCGATGAGCTTACGAAGACTGCAGGCTTCCAAAGTCGGATAAACGGCGGCAAACTTCTGCACCATTCTCCGATCTTGCTCTGCCTCTCCCATTGTTCCGGGCGAGTTGTATATATACTCCAGTGCAAGGTAGACGAGTCGACGAAATGGTGGCAGGCACTCTGTGAATCGTTCGACGCCTTCCTGAATTGATTTTTGTTGAGCGGCGGAATTGAATAACCGGCCGAACAACTTACATCATCTAGCATTAAGCTCATAAACCGCATATGAAGTGTCGTTGTGTGTGGCATGTGCATCGATAGAGACTTGAGAATGACCAGATGTTCCGCTCTGTTGGTGTAGCAATAATGAGAGGAAACAAAAGGGCGGTCAGGAGTCGTCAAAGCATTCAAGGCCAGAATGATTTCGTCGATGGTTGGTGCTCCCGCCATGAGAAGCCAATTGAGTCGAGTTGATCGCAAACGGCACAAACGTATTTCAGGAATGGCCGACGCCGCCCCTCCATAATGACGAAGATTGGGAAGGGATATTTCCTCCGCGACCGGCCTCGATTTCAATGTAGTCATTTCAACATGTGTTAGAGTGATATGCCGCTTTAAAAACCCTGAAACGATGGGTTTATCATCAACATCGAAGTCCAAAATTTCTACACCACAACTGATGAGGCGGGGAAAGAGCAGGAGGGAGAGGATAGGAGTTTTAACAATCGACAGATGCTCCAGTCTAGTCATGAGTTTCATTGCCTCGAGCAGTAGTTGTTCGTAAACAGGTGGTCCCAGGTATCTGTTGGTTGAGGCCATTGAAAAAGGTATGGGTCAAAATAGGGAATATGGAACGTACCGATACAAGAAAGTAAAGGATCGTATGGTGTGCGCCCGCCCAGGATTCGCGATTAGCGCCGAACAAAAAGCGCGCGGGATATCAGAATTGCGAGTGCTGAGTACGACGGTGCGGTTTATAACAGGAAGTGACAAGCTTTGAAAAAGCTTCGACACGCGACACAGAGTCGCCTGCTCTGCCCTTGCTGCATTTCGCACAATCTCTGTGATCAGCTCGTCCGGGAACAACCGGGTAATATCCTTCTGTGCCCTGCGTGCGCTTCGTGTCAAGACCATTCTAATTGATGTTCTGGTCCGTTTTCACGGTGTGTGTCTCGAAGCAGGGGTTGGAGATGAGGGTTTACCGACGGATCAGCTGGGCCACATAACATGTTATGTGCCACAGCCACTGATGGCCACATAACGGCGAGGGTAGTTCTGCATCGTCAGGTCTTTTATAAATCCCAAAAATATTTATGCAGACTCTGAGTATAGTATAAATTTTGAATCAACCGAGAACTTGTGGTAAACGAACCCATGAGGCACTTGAACGCACCTCCCCCGCCAAAAGTGTTATGTGCGTGACGTTCTAGTAACGTCACACTTAACAGCAAGCTCCTTGCTCACCCGCTCCCCACCGCACCGCTGCCATTGTGAACTTACAATAATTCGAGGAGCCGTCTGACCTAGTTCAACTCCTGATTGAACACTCAAAACTGGATAAATTTCCCATTCCACGCGTTCATCGAGGATTTGTCAAAAAAGCCCCTATTCGAACTGTGGTTGAAAATGTGATCACGGAAGCTTGGAACCCTCGCAAGATTGAAAGTGTTGGGGTGTTGCAATGAAACTATGTCCTCTCTGACATGTTTCCTTTGTCTAGGAGCCTAGAACAATATCAGCAGTGGCCAGCCTGTTTCCAACCATGACCATCGTTCAAGTTTGAGTTCCAAATTTATTTTGGAACTTGGGTACCTCCAAGATCAACAATGGCCTCCATGTTCATATTTTGAAAGCCGGACTCAATGAATTAATACAAGTACTTGATCCCCTTTCATGTATTTTTGGACCTACATACTCTCGACGTGTTCACGGCTCATGAACCCCAGAAGAATGAGTTTTGAGACCATTTGAGGCCAATAGACAGTTCGCTTGAAGCCTCTTGAATTTCCTTGAATCTTTCCTTTTTCTATTTCTTTTTCGCGTTTTTCCCCTTTCGGCGACCCAGTACAATGGTCGGAAAACCGAGATGAGGGCCGAGACAATCGAGGTGCTGCCGCGGCAAGCATGCGCAAACAACGCTTTTTGTATGCCAGAATTGAAATATCTAAAAGTCCAATACCGCAGACGCAGACCGACCACCCCTGAGCCTTATCTACCCTCAATCGGATCGGCTGTTTTTGAGCCGACAAAACCAAGACAAAAAGATGGTGAACCTTCAGTTCGTAAAAGCGATATTCGAACCACTGCAAGACAATTCGATTTCAACTAGTAAGCTTGAACTGGGAAAGTGGCAAAAAAAAGCATACTCGAAACATTATTTTCCTGACAGGGGCCCGGGCTCGAATCGAACGAGCAGCTTCTGCTTGATGTAACCAGGATTCCGCGCCACATAATACAAACGCGAACCATCCGCCACCGAGCCCTATCAACCAGCTCTTTACTTCCTCAAATATATATTTTGCTCGATATTCATTGAGGCAACGCGCCCACGACGTTCTTGCGCGCTAAAAAGCGAGTCCATGGTCAATGAACACAACACACGACGCAGAGCCGCCAGGTCTGCTCTGGTCACATTTTTATGGCGACGATGATCAGCTCGACTGTGAGCAATCGAGTGATCTCCATCCGTGCCTTGCGCGTACGCGAAGAAGCCGGTTTCGCATGCCAATCTTAAGGCTCTGGTCGAGGCTTGGTCTTGGAGGCAGTGGATGGGAAAGAGATTGTGCTGGCACAGTGCTGGTGCGAATGGAGGGGCTGTATACATACAATACCCGGGCCCTTTCTTACCAAAAAAGAAATTTCGGATTTTCTTTCTCCAGGAATCGGACCACGGGAGTCCAGGAGTTTGTGCCGAGATGGAGGAATAAGAGATGAATAGTGTACGGATCATCGTCTTCATACATGTCCGGCACCGTCAATTCAAATTAATTTATTAGAGTTAAACAAGCGCGCATGCGGATTGCCGTATGGCGCTCCTGACACGAACCTGCGTGGAGAGTGAGTTGTGCGCCCTTGTTAGTCATAAAGGAACAAAAAGCCGTACTCTAGGTTGGCGACGTCTGTTACAAGTGCGCCTCAAATTCGGGGGAAATTCAATCCAGCGGAGACCAGGAAATCCTCCCTCGGGTATTTCTGCCACGTCCCATTTACCTTCCTCCAGGCATTGTCATCTATACAAAGAGTGAATCCCGGAAGAAGCAACGGAACCGATGTGAGCTTACAAAGACTGCAGGCTTCCAAAGTCGGACAAACGGCGGCGAGCTTCTGAACTGTCCCAAAATCATGGTCTGCCTCTGCCACTGTTCTGGGAAACTCGTATATATAGTCCAGTGCAAGATAGGCGAGTCGGTGAAATAGTGGCAGGCACTCCGTGAATTGTTCGAAGTCTTCCTGAATTGATTTTGTTGAGCGGCGAAATTGAATAACCGGCCGAACGACTTACATCATCTAGCTCTGAATGAATAAACCGCATTTGAAGTGTCGTTGTGTGTGGCATGTGCGTCGATAGAGACTTGAGAATGACCAGGTGCTTCACTCCGGTGAAGCAATAATGAGAAGAAACAAAAGGGCGATCAAGAGTCGTCAAAGCATTCAAGGCCAGAATAATTTGGTCGATAGTTGGTGTTCCTGCCGGGAGAAACCAATTGAGTCGAGTTGTTCGCAAACGGCACAAACATATTTCAGGAATGGCCAACGCCGTCCCTCCATAATGACAAAGATTGGGAAGGGGTATTCGCTCCTCGACTGGCCTCGCTTGCAATGAATTCATTTCAACATGCGTTAGAGTGGGATGCCGCGTCAAAAACTGTGAAACGATATCTGCTCCAGATATATCATCAACATCGGAGCCCAGGATTTGTACACCACAACTGATGAGGCGGGGGAAGTGTAGGAGGGAGAGGACAGAAGTTTTAGCAATCGACAGACGCTCCAGTCTAGTCATGAGTTTCATTGCCTCGAGAAACAGATCTTCGTAAGCGGGTGATCTTGGTTACCAGTTAGTTGAGGACATTGAAAAAGATATGAGGGAATATGGAACATACCGAAACACGAAAGTAAAGGATCGTATGGTGTCCGCCCGCCCAGGATTCGCAATCAACGCCGAACAAAAAGCGCGCGGGATTTTAGAATTGAAAGTGTTGAGTACGACGGTACGGTTTAACACAGGCAGTGACAAGCTTTGAAAAAGCTTCGATACACGACACAGAGTCGCCTGGTCTGCCCTTGCCGCATTTCGTACAATCTCTGTGATCAGCTCGTCCGGGAACAACCGGGTGATATTCTTCTGTGCCCTGCGTGCGCTTCGTGTCAAGACCATTCGAACTGGTCGGTTTCCACTCGAAGCAAGCGGTTGGAGATGAGCGGCCGACAGAAAAAGGTGCAAGTATGCGCAAACAAGGCTTTTACGCCAAAAAGGCGCCAAAGCAACGCCAAAGGGAAGAAAAATTCCAATATGGAGCACAGACGCGGACCGTTCCCCCGAGCCTTGTCTACCCGTACTTAAATCAGATCGGTTTTTGAGCCGACAAGACAAAAAAGATGATAAAAACTTCAGTTCGCAAAACGCGATATTCGAACCAAGACAACTTTTTGGATTTAGTCGGACAGTGGTAGAAGATCGCATACTCGAAACATTATTTTACAGGGGCCCGGGCTCGAATCGAACGAGCAGGTTCTGCTTGATGCAAGCAGGTTTTCACGGCGCCACATAATACAGACGCGGACCATCCGCCACCGGGCCTTATCAACCACCTCTTTGCCTCGAATATATATATTCATCGCGGCAATGCGCCCACAACGACTTTCTTGCGCGCTAAGAAGCCAAGCCATGGTCAATGAACACACCCAACTGTCTGCATTCCGAGTCAACTCACCTACCAGTCGATCGCGAAGCACGAGTCCCGGCTGCAGCTCTAGTGCGCTGCTAGTAGCATCCAGCCAGTGTCCGTCTTAGCGCCTCGTGCCACTGTGGTGAAAGGACCGAAAGTATCAGATATGCGCTGGTTGGAGCGAATCGAATTAGTACTATGGTAGGTCCGGGAAGGACAAGCCTGCTGCGAATTCGTAGACATACATTTGGGCGGGGATGATACGCGCATGTCGAATCATCTCTCAATTGACCTAACGGGCGCGTTCACCGTGCCGTCGTGGCTCGAACGCACCAGAGATGGAGCCCGTGCCGCGGCGAGAGGTAATAATGACCAGCCTCCGCAGACGCGCCGTCCCAGTACGCAAGGACCATGTTGGCCACTATGAGCCCGAGACCTCGGGTATCTTGACCTTGTCCTATCCCCCGTCCCAGCGCCGTTTAAATTTTGCAGCAGGAATGAGATGCGGGTTTCATCCTTGTATTGAGATAATCGACGTCTCCATGACCGTACGCGTAACGTCCCCGAAGGACGCGAATCGGTTAAGACTAGTGTACCAGATCTACATGCAGCCCGGGCGGCACTTAAAAAAAGGGACAGAAGATTCCAGGGAGTTAGCCGAGGGCTTGAAAATTTAATTCGTAAATTGAGAAAGGGCGTGTCTATGAGTTCAAGTCAAAGTACAGACATTGAGGATGTGTAGCCAGGGCCCAGACGTCGTTTCAAGGAAAGCCCTGAGTGCCCAGGCGATTTCAGTCGGATTCAGAGTCAAACAGGCTCCGCGCAAGCGAATTCCCTTGGAATGTCGGGTTGCACAGCGCTCGAGCAAGGAGTCCAAATCCAAAACCAACGCAGAGAATCGAGCCCGCGATGATTCGCGCCTTGAGAAAGATACCTATACTAGCAACATTTCTACTGGCAGTCAAGGTGTCAAATTTCAATTCGACGTCTTGAATTTCCTGCAAGAGGTCAAGAGGTCGAGCGCCGGTAGCGGGGACCGAGTCGGCGGCAGTCCGGCTCCGGATCCTCTTCAGTGTCCACAGTGAGCTCGGGTGATCCTCGCTGAGAAAAAGGTGGAGGAATCCGGCGAGTGAGTGTCGGAAGAAACAAGAGCAGTGGCTGTGCTCTACGTCCTCCCCGCTCCTAAATCCACATTCGAATCCCACCATAGCCATGAAAATTTGGGATCCACTCAATAAAGATACGTATACATTGTACACACTACCCATCCTCCTAGGAATTATAAGTACTCGTACATCATTACACCCCGATCCCGGAAAAAACAAATGAGCAATCACTTCTTCGAGCCTTGTAGGGTGGCGGCGGTCGCGGGCTGCACTGTACGCCCCATCCACCACCCACCCACCCACACCCCGAAGTGACCCAACCCCACTCAGTCCTCAGCAGCACTCAGCCTTCAGCACTCAGCAGCACTAAAGCACCTCAGCACTCGGAGGAACTACGCGCCAGCGCCGCTCCCAAGCGGCACGCTCCCGATCACGTTGTACGTCCGCGCGCTGCGGTTCATGGGTGGGGGGAGGCGGTCCCTGTGGGCGGGGTAGGGCGGACGAGGTGGAATGAGGGGTGGTTATGTGGGTGGGGTAAGAAGAGGGTGGATGGGAGGGAGTTTGGAAGGTGGGAGGGAAGAACGGGCGGGGCGAGTTTCGGACGGGGGTGGGAGCAGTCAAGATAGGATGGAGTTCAAGGCGGAGGGAAGGCGATGGGGAGCGGAAGCGGCGGGTGACGTGGCGTGGGGGGGCACAGGGTGAGGGATAGAGTGTATGTAGAACGGTGGGGAGGCCAAGAAGGATGGACGCAGGGATAGCGGGGCAGCGGAGTGAGGAAGTGGGAATGACGAGGAAGCGAGTTTACAAAGGGGAGGAGTGGAGCAGGGTCAGGGTGGCCGGATCGGGGAAGGGCGAAGGGCGAGGAGCAACGTTGGGTGGAGGGAAATTTTGATGGGTAAGGGAAAGGACGAATAGGAGGCGGGAGGCCATATGGCGGAAGCAGGGAGGGAGTATGCGCAGAGACGTGGAGTGAGTGAGTGAGTGAATAATTATGCGGGTCGGAGGAGGGGGAGGTGAATATGAGCGACAGCGGGAGCGCGGACGGCGGACGGTGGATGGATACGCGGGTGCGGAACGGGTCGGCGTGCGGCGGTGGTCGTCATCGTCGAAAGGGAGGGCGGGATGGAAGCGTCGTCGTTGTCGCGAGGCGGGCGGGCGGGAGAGGGGAGAAGGCAGAGGGAAAGAAAAATCAGCCAAAATGCGCCGAGGATATTACGGAATCTAGAAAACGAGCGAAGGGAAGGAGATGCGCATTCCACCCCAACCAAACCAGTCGAGTACGCGCACTGCGTCCCCCCTCTACACAAGGACGCGCCTCCCGCCCCCATCAAGTGCTCCACGTCCAAGGAAGGATGGATGCGTCCTCCGTCCTAGCAAGTACGCGTGGTGCCCCTTCTTCACTCCGCCGGAAGGAGACGCGCATTGCTCCACCCCAAGCCGGTCGAGTACGCGCACTGCGTCCCCCCTCTACACAAGGACGCCCATCGAGTGCTCCACGTCCAGGGAAGGATGCCTCCTCCGTCCTAGTAGGTACGCAAGGTGCCCCTTCTTTACTCCGCCTCATCGCCGATCTACGTGCACTCCCCCCTAGAGTCCAAAGCGGCGAGGTCCGCACACTCGCTCCGCTCCGCCCACATCGCCAAAGTGCGCGCACTCCGCCCCCTCCCTCCACTCTCCCCCCAAATAAAAGCATAACGAGCGAGGAAAAAGTCTCCAAAAACAGCGAAACGCGCACTTACCCCTCGCCCATATCGAAGTGCGTGCCGCGCTTCGGATCGGCGCGGCGCTTCTCGACGGCCTTCTTGACCTTGCGCTCGGGGCGGACGACGATGATGGGGACGGGGGAGTGGGTGAGGCAGTATCTGGGGGTGCGGGGTTAGTGTGCGATGTACGAGGGACAGAAGTAGAGAGGGGCACACACTTGCTGACACTCCCGATGCCGCCCTTGCCCATCATGGCCATGCCCTGCCAGGCCTTCTTGCCGCGGGTGCCGACGACGACGCTGTCGGGGCGATAGAGCGCGATGAGGCGGTCGAGCGTCGCGGTGATGCGCCCCGGGATGTATTCCAGGATGATCGAGAGCTGCGGTCGTTAGCATCACAACAGCGAGTGATACATAAGACGGCACACACCTTGCGCTCAGGATCATACTCGATGCTCTTCTCCTGGATCTGCAGCATCAGCTGCCGTGCCTCCTCCCGCACCGCCTCGTGGTCCCTTTCGAATAGATCCTCATCCACGCCGCGGCACACGATGAGCTCGTCCCCGTCCTGCACGAGCGCCTCGAGGCTCCAGTCCAGCGCCTCGCGGCCGCTCTCGTCGGGCCCCGCGGCGACGAGGAACACGCGCGTGCTGCGCGTGCGGATGTAGCCGTCCGCCTTGACCTGGAGGGTGAAGCTGAACATGGACGCGGCGGGGTTCTCGAAGGTGTCGAAGGAGACCTTGGGGGTGTAGTTCGGGGAGGCGAACTGGGAGACGTGCGGGGAGGGGGTGGGCGGGGCGGAGCCGGGGATTGGGCCTGGACCGAGAGTCGAGGTGGGGATCGGGTAGTGGAGCATGGTGGGCGGGGAGGAGGAGCCGGCGGGGGAGAGGACGGGGGAGAGGGACGAGGAGCGGCGGCTGAGCGGCGGAGAGGTGCTGTTCTTCAGCGCAGAGCGCAGCGCCGGAGAGTCTCTGTGCATCGCAGAGTATAGCGGCGGACTGTGTCGAGTTTCAGAGTAAGACATGTTGTTGCCGCGTGTTGACGCGATCCTCTTTCTTTACCCTACGTCCTAATCCTGGCATGGCTTGGTGGCGGATGGTCCGCATCTGCGTGAACTGCAGTCTTCCGAATTCATTTCTCAGCAGAAGCTGCTCGTTAGAATCGGGCCCAAGCCATATGCTGAAACTTTATATGTAATTTTTTTTTTCGCATTTGAACCCTCTCCCCACGAAACAAAAATCCTAATTTTATTGGAAGTCGATGGCCAGAATCCAGGTGCGTCGGTTCAGGCTTTATCTCGCTTCAAGGTCAAGCTTAAAGCTCCACCATAGTTGTCCGCAAAAAAAGCGGTACAGCAGGTCAATCTAGGAGTTTCACCCACCCTCAGAAATAAAAAGTCCTAATCATATCTCACGTTGAGGGCTGCAAAGCAAGGCTTGGTGGATGGTCCACCTTTGTGCATGCATCAGTTTCCCAGTGTGTGATGACAATGTACGCAGGAGGTGCCTGTTCGAATCAGGCCCGAGCCATAACTGTAGCAGTTGTTTTTTTTTTCTCCCAGCATAAAACAGCTTCCTAGTGAGCCCAGTCTATGTCTGCACACTGAATTTTATTTTATTAGAAAATGATGAACAGAGGTACTGAACTAAGAATTGAGCACACCTGATCGTATTGGAAGTCCAGAAAAAAAGCGGTAGTAGGTCAATCTGTCGTTCTCGAAATTTCACTCGTCTCCGAAAAAGAAAAAGTCCTTCTCATATTTCAGGTTGAAGTCTGCAAAGCAAGGCTCAGTGGCGGATGGTCCGCATCTGCATTTATTTATATTGTGTGATCGAGATGTGCAGAAGGTGCTCGTTCGAATCGGGGCTGAGCCTTGAAGAATCTGGAGAAACCTTTTTTCCCCCTTGAAGAAAAAAGCGGTTGTTCAGCGGAACTAAGCCATCTTGAAATTTTGACCCAATCGATGGCAAGTTTTCTCACTTGGCTATGTGAACTTTTTAAAGAACCAATCATACTACAGGTCAAGGGGTTGCAGACTAGGCTCTGTGGGATGGTTGCATCTGTCCAGTAAATTCAACATGATCAAATTGTGCAGAAAGTGCTCGTTCGAATCGGGCCTGAGCCTTAATGCATCACTGGAATTCCAAATCTTTTTCCCCCATGAAGCTCCATGCTCTCCCAGAAAAATGTGTAATCATTGAACGTTCCTCCAGATTCACCTGTCTGCACAAAAGTGGTTGTTCAGCAGGCCTAAATCATCTTGAAATTTTGTCCCGGTGAACCACGATGGCAAGCTTCTTAGACCAACCTTAGATTCAAACTCACTACAAGTTAGTTATGAAACATTTTTTAAGACCGTCAATCATACGCACAGGTCGAGAGGTTCTAGACAAGGTTCAGTGGGATGGTCTGCATCTGTGTAACACGATCAAATTGTGCGGAAGGTGCTTCACTGCTTGTTCGAATCAGGCCTGAGCTCCTAGTTGACTGATGTCGGTTTTTATTTCCCTGTAGGCTCTAAAGAACCCTCACCTGCAAGGAAATAATGTCTGAGCACTTCAACCTAATTATCCAGATAACACCTTTTTGCAACCTCAGAGGAAGGCAGTCTGCATTGACAGCTCTTCCTCCCTGATGTTAGCATACACAGTAAATTTCAACCGACTCCCTATGTCGCCCACAAAAATGTAATACTTTCCTAACCACAGTAGAGGCCAAGAAGTATCAGGTAAGGCTTGGTGGCGGATGGTCCGCATCTGTGTGAACTGACCGTGTTCTTTGTTTCTCAGCAGAAGCTGCTCGTTCGAATCGGGCCTGAGCCTTGAGACGTGACCTCTCCGAATCTTTTTCCCCTTGAAGCTTCATCTCCCAGAAAAACAGGTAAGCACTTGAATGAGATCCACCACATCTACATACACTTGTCTGCAAAAAGTGGTTGTTCGGTGGAACTAAGCCATCTTGAAATTTTGTCCCGGCGAACCTTGATGGCAAGCTTCTTCTGAATCTTCCTTAGACTCAATTCAAGTTGGTTATGGAACTTTTTAAAAAGCCGTCAATGATTTGCACAGGTCCAGGGGTTGTAGACAAGGCTCAGTGGGATGGTTACATCTGCCCAGTAACTTCAGCATGATCAAATTGTGCAGAAGGTGCTCGTTTGAATCGGGCCTGAGCTCCTCGGTCGAGACATGTTGTACTCATTTTTCCCAGGAAATATCACTTGCAGAAAGGTGTTATTTGACAAGCCTCAGATGAAGCCATTCTGCAGCTCTTCTTCCTCCCTGATGTTAACATACTTACATGGTAAATTTCAACTGACTCCCACTGTTGCTCATAAAAAAAAGCTCCTAATCATATTTAAGGCCAAAAGTAGCTGGTAAGGCTTGGTGGTGGATGGTCCGCATCTGCGTGAACTGATGTGTTCTTTGTCTCTCAGCAGAAGCTGCTCGTTCGAATCAGGCCCAAGCCCTAGGCATCATGGACGTAGATTTCTTTTCCCTCTGCATATGAGCTTCCTAGAACGTCGAAGTGATATCGCCCAGGAAAGTGGCACTTTCCTGGGCGATATACTCTCCATTGAAAACTGTGGGCAGTGTAAGTCATTAAGAACGGTGAGCCCGGTCTATGCCTGCACACCGAATCCACAATTCTCTGAACAGTTGTTCTTTAGGCATAAGCCATTAAATTAGTCCGCGCGACGTGCGATTTTTTCGCCCCTAGCAAGTTTTGAATCTTGTGATTCCATGTACATATATGCGGAAAGGTTCAAATTTAGCTTTATACCTCCTCATACAAGCTCTCAGTTTTAATCACATTGGATGGTAACTAACCAACAGCGCTTGGTGGCGGATGGCCCGCATCTGCACTAAATAGAGGGGTACCATTGACCTCCCAAGTAGAATCTGCCGCTCGTTCGAAACGAGCCCGAGCCCTATCCAATAATCGCGTGCACTGCTTTTTGGCCCTTCAGTTGTTGATGAATTCTTTGGATACGTCGATTATGCCTGGATACGTAGTATCTAGGTTCCTGTCTACCGAACGTCGTCACCCAAAAAGGAAGTTGATCAAAACGTTTTGTCATCCTTGAGCTTCGGTTGGCGCACCGTGGGCGTAATATGGAAGCTTCCCTCCTCCTCCTCCGTGTTTGCATGAAATAAGTTTTGTAATTCCGCGATCCAGTTTGCCCTTGGAACATTTTGTGAATCCGGCGAACCTGCCCCTGGGAATTGTCACGTGGAACCCAGTATATAAAGCGCCATGAATTGAGATGGCACTTGCTCTTTTACCTGTTCGGATGCTCCTGGATTACCACCGCCAAGGGAAAGTTCTGTTGATGGTCTTCTATGAGGGAAAGGATGGACCCAAAGCCATACTCAAGACATTTCAGAAAAACAAAAGGTAGACATAAGGCAGATCAACATTCTGGTTGGACAGCTTAGATTAGATGAGGATTAGACCAAGGTCAAACCTGAGGAACAAGTGAAGGGAATCGTTTTCGGGGTATCCAGGTCGTGCCCGGGAGGGCAATTAAACAGGATTGTTCAGAGAGCTGTGTGCATTATTGCCTTTTTGGGGATAAAGTGGTTGTTTGTAGTTGTGAGTTGTTGCGGCACCATGACATGCTGGCTGTGCTCGGCAAAGAAGCCAGCCCGCCTTGCTTCTTACAGCCATGACCGATTCTCAGGAAGACAGCGCTCTGCCGGGGTCCAAGCGGAGAAGACTTAGGGGATCCTGCGACATATGCAAGCATCGGAAGAGTACGTTTCCAGACTTCCGCCGCTAGAATCCACGATTCTGATCTCAAATTGCGTAGTTAAATGTAAGCGGCCATCCGCCTCATTTGAATTCCTGTCGGATTTATTCTGCATCGGGAATCGCAGGTGATAGTGCCCAGATGCCAGGGAACCGGTGTACCAATTGCATTGCGTTCAATTCCGAGTGCACGCACTCCTTAACGCCTGTATCCAAGGTGCGTCGGACCCACGAAACAGAGACGACCTGTTGACCTTAGCACCAGAAATCTGCACCCAGAAAAGCGTCTCCTAGTCAGGTGCGGCACCGTTCGCTCCCCCTATATTCAACTGGGCTAACGTTTATCGAAGAACACCCCCGAGAACCAGGCTAACCATAAATCCGCGAAAGCTCACGTCGCTACCATCGTCGTACAGGCGACTACCTATATTGCCGAGGCAGACGTCCGGCAGGTTCTTCTCGACGTGGCGCGTTATGCTCGCAGTTTGGAGAACCAACTGACAGGCCGCCAACGGTCGCCATCCCTTCCCAGCGCGGGAAACTCACCTTCGCCGCAAGCAACCACGAAACAAGAGGAGGATGACTTCCTCACGACCGGCGTATTGTCTGAGCGCTTCGAGCGATTTAGGCTGGATTCCGACGTCGACCGGTACTTTGGCAAATCGAGCCACTTCGAGCTGATCAACACCGCCATGGGACTCAAACAAAATTTTGTGGAGGAGCACGCACTTCCTAAAACGGTTCTGCCGTCCACGAAACGACAGGAGTTCTGGCTAACCCCTGTACGTGGTGGTTTCTTCCTGCGTGCGCTGCTATTTACATCGCGTTTACATGAAAGTGGGAGCACGAGCACCTCACGTTGGATCCCGTCTTTCCACCGCTGGTATTCCCGGATCCGGACCTCCTGCAGGATCTCGTTTCGCTCTTTTTCTCAAAAGTCAACATCTTCTTATGTCTCATCCATCGACCGACCTTCGAGAAATCCCTCGCCTCGGGTCTCCACCTCAGGGATTATCATTTTGGCTCCACAGTCTTGGGTATATGTGCTGTGTCGGCCAAATACTCCGATGATCCTCGTGTCGTCCTCGAGGGAACGAGTTCATCACTAAGCTCGGGTTGGGAATATTACCGTCAGCTACGGCCACTCCAGAAAGCCTTGGTGCGCGCTTGTACGCTTTACGAAGCGCAGACGCTTTGTGTATGTCATTCGTTATATCCACCGTCGAAATCTTTAAATTGACGTCTCAACAGCTCTGCGTCTTCTATCTGCAAGGCTCCTCTGCTCCTGACGGATGCTGGACAATAGGTGGTGCCGGCATGCGCTTCGCCCAAGAAGTGGGCGCCCATCGCCGAAATCGATTCGAGAACAAGATGGAGGCTGAGCAATGGAAACGGGTATTTTGTGAGCCGCGAATCTCTGCCCATTGGCGAGTTTCTAATCAGGTCATCAAGGGGTTCTGGTCATCATAGACACACTTACAAGCTCCTTTTGCGGGCGTCCGCGCTCCACGACTTCTTCAGAGTAATTTCCGCCTGATTCAACGTCTTAGTATCTGATCTCTTTTTAGCTATGATCTGGATTACCCGGCTGAATGCGACGACGAATATTGGGAAACCGACGATCCCGCCATGGCGTTCAAGCAGCCGCCCGGAAAGCCTTCCGTCGTCTCGTATACGATTGCGTACCTGAAGCTCATTGAAATTATTGGGGTAGCTCAACAAACTATTGTTCGTGACGCGACGTGTGCCATGCCGATCTATCACCTCATTTTGTTGTTGCAGTATCGGGTGAACCACAAGGATGAAAGCGAAGAATGGATGAAAGATGTGGTGGCCAATCTCGAGTGAGTGCTTTCGCTCTATGTGGCGCCCGCGTTTGACAGTACTCGAAGCTCTTCCCTGAATGCTTGGGTAGATACAATCCCCACACATTGTGCGTATTCGCTCCGCATTTCCGTGATTCGTCCAGCTGAACGCCACCAGTGCTGTGGGATCCACATAAGGAAGATCCGATATTTTCAGCGCAGAGCGCGGTCCTGTATGCTTGTTATTACCATGGTTGGTCTCCGAGCGTCCTCTTTCCACATCTTGTTGAACGTCGTTTAGCCCAAATACAAATCCACCGGATCTTTATCGGTGCCGCGGCCAAGACGCTCGTATGGTTCTCTCCACCTGCTCAAAAGATTATGCTGACGTCCTTAGAACTACCCGTCTCTGGCGATCTGTGCCAGCTCTGCACGGGCCTGTAGCCATGTAATGGATGTAGCCGCGCAAAGAGGGTTTCTGTGCAATCCTCATATTTTGGTACCATCTATTTTTCATGCCCCGCCGGACATTGCTAAATTGTGTGCATATCAGAATGCCGTTTTTGACGCCGGTATTGTTCTTTTACTGAACGTTTGGGGTGGACGCTGTGCTGGTATCTCCGTTGACCCGCAGAAATGCTTGTCAGATGTCGAGATGTGCCTCCGCGTATTTCGGGCGTACGAACCTAGGTCAGTCGCAAACCAAAGTGTGTATAAACTCTTTGGATTCAACCCAAGTGTAGATGGCAGGTTGCCGGCCGCCAACAGTACGTTCTTCCGTCGTAGTCTTGGCAGTGGCTGACTGACTTGCGCCATAGTGATATAATTACCGAACTCATGGGCGCAACACATATGGAGCACTCGTATGCCCCCAACCCTCTGAAGCGTAGACTAGAATACGACACAGAGCCATCGACCACTGGCAGTAGCCCGGAAAGCGATCCGCAGCCAAGCACTGGCGAGAGTAGCCCAGACTCCCGCTTTGGCCCCAGCTACGACTCGTCGTCCGACCAACCATTCGGCCACGACTCATCCGCTTTCGGTCTAGACCCCCTCTTCTCGCTTCCAATGCACACAGAAGATCTTGGCCGATTACCTGTATACGAGCCACTGAACTGGGCTGAAAATTGGGGGAAAAATATTCAAGATGATATTTTCCTGCCCGATGACATTCGGAATATTATTGCGCCATCGGAAGGGACGCCGCCGTATTCGAATGGTGTGTACCTTCGTGTTGGTTGGATGGCCCTTTTGCTGATCCGACGAAG